GTGGGGGTGGAAAGGAAAAAAACGAGCATTTTGTGTGAGAGATAAGCAGACAGATAGATCGATCAATAGATCGGTAGATATAGATAGATGGATAGGCCTAGATAGACAGAGAACGAGAGACAGAGGACAGTGATGTACGTGATCTCTCTCTCTCTCTCTCTCTCTCTCTCTCCTCCCCCCCCCTCTCTCTCTCTCGCGGAGCCAGAAAGTTATCATTCAGGTAAGCCCAAGGTCAACCACAATATCAAAAGTTCGCCCAGCCACAAAACAACGAAAAGAATGCGTTGCAGAAGTCAACTGGAACTCATAGCATGAAGCGCACGGAGGAAGACTTGAAGTTATCACAATGACCTAGATTTCAAGCTTCCACATTGTTTCAGTCGTTGAACCGAGATCGCTCAGGCATTTTATGTTTTGGGGTTTCTCGGGCTTGCCTTTCAGGCTCTCCATAAGAGCGCCACTTATCCGAACTATCCTATTTGAACTGACGACAGAATGAAAAGGGCGTTTCCCTAACTGCTGCCTGCTAAATTTGGCGAGTAAATAAATGAATGCTCCTCCGGTCACGTGACTTGCAGGTCTCGGTCAAGATGGCGGCTGATTGATCAGAGAGCATTTAAAGATCATTCGCCGACAGCTAGAGTTTGGCATGAAATCTACTTCGTAAATTGACCCTCAAAACGGTAGGTACTGTTAATAAACTATGTAGCAATATATCTTTTTTGAACGAATTGACTTATTGATCGAAGTGTTTGTTTCTAAATTCCAGAGCTGATCATGTTCACTCGAAGACGAATGAGATCAGGCACGAAGTCGAATGACGAATGGTTTAGTCTGAGTTAGAGGTACCGAAACTGATTGAAACATTCATGAAGTTCTAAATCCTTAGTCTAGAGTTAGGTAATTATTTTGAAATGTTTAGTTGAGTATTGGATCTCCTCTAGATTATGAGTTATGTAAGCATTCTTCATTCTGTGATCATCGAGGACCTGGAATTGATACCGAAACTCGGTAGTCCTGTGTTCACTGACTCGCAGTGACTTAAGTTTCACCGTGTTGCATTCATTTGGGAGTTGCATTTTGACCTGAGTTTGGTTTTGGCTTGACCTGTCTGTCACCACTAGGTCTAGATTCTAGATCTAGATCTTTGGCCTTTAGATGTGATTTAGAACTAGAGTCGATGTGCCTGACCGCGGCGGTGACCCCAGTGCGGCAGTTGGTCTAGTTTCGGCAATCGAAGTGACTATTCGGACTCGAGTCCGAATATGAAAAAATGTTATTCGGACTCTGATTCTTGTCCAGCATGACATCATTTCCGACTTCCGACTTCCTGTGACTCGTGACTCCGGCTTCCTGTCCTGCCTCACTCGTGACTCGCCTCAGGCTTGGTAGAGACCGGGATCACTTCGGGCAAAAAGGCGTTTTGTGCAGGAGCCGAGTTTTTATCTTATGATGAATTTGAGGCCGGCCTGAAAAGTTATAGCGCTTCTAATAAATGTTTATTTTTGTCAAGAGGTCATCAGAAGCAATTAAAGATGGCTCGTTAACGTGTGTCGGGGTCGGATGGGCGGCCTGCACACGTGTGACTGTGTGCGTGTCAGGGAGGGGGGGTGGGCACTATCGGTCCGGGCGTTGAACGTCGCATACGCGTCAGTCTTTTTCCCCCTGGCAACTGATCATTATTACAATAATAAGCTAATCTTGATGTAGATCTACGTAATGAATTGTGCGCTGGTCTATGGAATCAAAAGTTGCCGTATGCTCAGCTCTACACAGCAACACAACTTTTTCTTGGTAAACAATCGAGATGACACAGGCTTGTGTATTTGAACGAATCGGTCTTTTTTTTTTACACAGCTCATAATATGCAGGTGCCAGGTGGTCTGCTAATCTTCAATTTTACCTTTTTCTACAACAAGGAAAGCGGGAAACATGGGGTGGGGGTGGGGGGGGGGGGCGTATCAATGAGGCGGCGGGCATCGGATCGGCAGAAAAGGTGTGGGGGAAACTAAAAATGGCGGAAAATTGGAAGCACTGAACGTTAGATCTATAGAACAAAGACACTTCCTTTTTTCCGGACCCGAGTCCGAATAAGATTTTTTTTTTTATTCGGACTCGAGTCCGAATATGAAAATTTTTTATTCGGGCTACGACGGCCTTCGGCAATTTCTCACCTACTACTTTTGTTTTTGGAAGTGGCTATTCTCACCCGGGGTGAGAATAGAAAAACGATCTACCTCTCACCCCGGGTGAGACTTGCCAGCGTAGACTATTCTCACCCGGTGCGAAACAAGACCTGTTTTTCCTCATTTTGGAATACTGTCTATCGGTGTGGATGATCAAATTGATAAAAGCCAAGAAAAAATTACGTTATAGCACAAAAAATATAAGCTAATTTGATCGTCTTCAAAGATGCTATGGCTATTTCACTTTTCGAATCGAGCCGAACTACGCGGGTCGACATTTTGTTTTGCCCGGAAGTTCTCGCAAGATCTACTCCTCCCCTCTCTCTCTCTCTCTCTCTGTCTCTTTCTGAATACTATCGGTGTGGACGATCAAATTGAACAAAACAAAGTTAAAAAATGATGTTAAACAAGGAAACTAAATTAATTTGGTTGTCTACAAAGATGCTACGGCTATTTAACTTTCCGAATCGAGCCGAACTACGCGGGTCGCCATTTTGTTTTGCCCGGAAGTTCTTGCGCTACTCCTCTCTCTTTCTTTCTCTCTCTCTCTCTCTCTTTCTCTCTCTCTCTCTCTCTCTCTTTCTCTCTCTCTCTCTCTCTTTCTCTCTCTCCACTGTGACTGCCCACAGACAAAATTGAACGCTTTTAGGCTAACACTAACAGTAGTAATAGATATCTAGAACGTTTGTTCACAGCACAGAATTCTATAATTCTGTTATCACAGTGTAGAATTCTGTGGTTCAGGGTGAACGCTTCACTGGTTGGCCTAGGCTATAACGGGTGAGAATAGCCAAAAGACTCGCCTGCGCTATTCTCACCCGGGGTGAGAATAGAGGTGGCCTTTGTTTTTTGTTAAGGAAGTAGTTTTCCTCACCTGGGGTGAGAATAAAAATACGATCGACCTCTTGCCAGCGTAGGCTATTCTCACCCGGTGTGTAACAAGACCTGTTTTTCCTCATTTCGGAATGTCTATCGGTGTGGATGATCAAATTGACAATAGCAAAGAAAGAATGACGTTATAGCACAAAAGGGTAAATTTTTACTTTCACTCCCGCACACAGATGCATTGTTTCAGGGGTCAAACTGCTGTACTGTTTGCTGCAGATCACACATAAAGCCACTAAAACTGTCGCAAATCAATTATTTTCAAGACAATTTCAAATCTAGCCGTAAAATATCAAATTATGGGTAAAAACAGGGGGGCATGCCTGTAACCCCCCAGCTTTTCTTTTACCCCAGTGGGGCAGGCCCCCGATTGGTCCAAAGCATGTAGGTCTATCTTGGTTAAAAACAATCAAATATTTCAAAAACTATTAATTTGCCACGGAAATTAAGGAAGTTGATATTCGTGTTCAGCGCATCAATATTTAGTAGAAAATAGACAACTGGTAGCTGAGTGTGAGACAGTAGGGAAAGTAAAAAAATACCCACAAAAGTAAGCTAATTTGATCGTCTACAAAGATGCTATGGCTATTTAACTTTTCGAATCGAGCCAAACTACGCGGGTCGCCATTTTGCTTTGCCCGGAAGTTCTCGCTAGATCTACTGCTCCCCTCTCTCTCTCACTCTTTCTGATCTATCGGTGTGGACGATCAAATTGACCCTAACAAAGTTAAAAAAGGATGTTAAAACACAAAAGTAAATTAATTTGGTCGTCTACAAAGATGCTAGGGCTATTTAACTTTTCGAATCGAGCCGAACTACGTGGGTCGCCATTTTGTTTTGCCCGAAAGTTCTCGCGCTACTCCTCTCTCTCTCTCTCTTTCTCTCTCTCTTTCCACTGGCCAGACAAAATTGCACGCTTTTTTTAGGGTAACAGTAGTAACACAAGAGTGCTGGAACGTTTGTTCATGGCACAGAATTCTACAATTCTGTTATCACAGTGTAGAATTCTGTGGTTCAGGGTGAACGCTTCACTGGTTGGCCTGGGTTATATTATAACGGTGAACGCACACCGGGTGAGAATAGCCAAAAGGCTCACTTGCGCTATTCTCACCCGGGGTGAGAATAGAGGTTGCCTTTTGTAAATTTAAAACTGCAGTGATGTCCCTTGCGCTGTTCTGTTTCTTCCTTTCCTGATCCATTGCGAACACGTGGCAATTTCGATCCAGGAATAGAAATTTTGTCGTCGTACACATTTTGACTTTGCTTTTATATAGTTGGAAGAGGCTAGCTGTACTTAATGAGTACTAGACTGGTTGGCTAGCAGTACGGCTAGACAGCTGGGCTAGCCGTACTTATTCTTATAATGGCTAGACTGACTTAAAAAAAAAATAGGCCTACTGAATTGTAAATATACATTTTTAGTTTGCAGTACCTAAAGTATTTGTATTTGAGACGAAACAAGGTGCCTTAATGACAGTGCGTATTTTAAACCTCCTATTTTCTAGTGTTAATAGGGCATATATAATATAAGATAAGTACGGCTAGACTGCCAGTCTAAATGTAAATGAAATTTTTAGTTTGCAATGCCTAAAGTATAAATGTATTTCAGACAAAACCAAAAGGTGCCTTACTGACTTGCATGTATTTGAACC